ACAACGATTTTCGAAATAGGTGTATAATCATTGGAGTAGCATCGGGCTAAGCTATCAACTGCTTGCTCTATACAACAACGATTTTCGAAATAGGTTCTTTTTTTCAGCCGTTTTTCCCTTTTGTTGTGTTCGCAAATTGTACCTGCGTCTTAGTGCATGCCATATATCCGTGAAAAACTTGATAAGAAGTTGCACAAATTTGCACAATTTAGTAAGTTCAGTAGACCTCAGTAGGTTGTAGGCTTACAAAACTTTGCACTAATTTGTACAATTTTGTTAGTTTGCTTTTTCACGAATATATGGTATATATATGGTCTTGTATTGCATTTTTGAGTTAATTAAGCTAAACCATTTTCCATACATTTTCCATACAGCAAAAGATGGAGAAATCATACCGTCAAGTATCGTATTCGTCAGAGAAAAAGATGGTCGCTATGCTCAAGGATTCGTCTCGTCTGAACAGCAAAACAGATACACCGTCAAGACCTATAACGGACAATCGGTGAATGTCAGCATCCATGATACCCCTGCCATCGTCCCGGACAGAGTGCCTTTGGTTAACGAAGTTCATATCGGAAGTCCTGTGATTGGTTCATGGAAAGGCACTGATAAGTGGTATTTTGGTCGAGTGATGAAATCTAAGAAAGAAAACAATACGACGTTTTTTTATATTTTGTTTGACGATACTGATGAGATCTGGCACAAACTGGAAAATATTCGAATTGTTCCAATGAAACATCGTGACGGTATGGAAAGAATTGTGATTATTTTTCCAGGGAGGGAGGGGGGGACTCCTTTGTTTTTGAATAATATTAAGCTGTGCTAGATAGCGTTATGGTGGCAATTCCGTCGTGAAAGTTCAAGATACACGTGCAATATTTCAATTTTTTTCTGCAGAAAGTTCCAATTATTTAAGTCTCAACATCACATTTTTCGTCCCTCCGCAAAAATCAACTCTAAATTTCAATTTGATCTTGCATCGTGTGCTTTAGACATGATTATCTGTCTCAAGTGACTGAGAAATTACTTCCTGCATGCTCGACGTAAAATAAGTACATTTAGACTAAGGTGAAACGTCGAACTTCACACCGAACCTAATGTCATCAAAGAAAACCGCCTTGTTATCCATTGTTTCAATTAGGTTCGGCTCATGTGACGTTCGACACCTTAGCCAAACATCCTTTTTTTTTCACTTCTACTCATAATAGATCTGCTTACCTCGGATTTAACGCTTTCAAATAAATTTCAAACAATGTGTCATTCCCTATAGTATCATGTTTTTGTTTTATGGTTTCGCATAGCAAGCCACAAATATACGGATACAACTTTAAAAAATCTTATCCCACAGAATGACACGTGGTGTGAAATTGTGAGAACATTGCAACGAAGCTAAAAAAAAACGTCTATTGCTTGCATATGCCCGTGGGCATTAACTTTTGTTTCCGGGTTCATTGTTTGTTTGATTTTATTGTGCAAAGAATAATATCTAATGATTTCATTATTATTATTATTGACAGTTCATGAAGGTGCCATCGAAGTTGGGAGTTTCGTATGGGCTTGGTGGTCTGGCATAAGATACTTCCCAGGATATGTGTCCTTCAAAGGAACCAAGCTCCACGTTGACTTCAACGATGGTGACAAGTATCTTTATGACGTCAAAGATGCTCATGTCAAAGTCTTTCCTGAGATCCTTGCCAACGTCAAAGAGGTTCATCAAGGGACTCGAGTATTTGCTCGATACAAGCGGCCCTCGCCGTATTATGCTGCTACAGTCAAAGAAGTTGACAAGTCAAAGAAAAACTTCAAGTTCTATCATGTGAAGTTTGATGATGGGGATGAAGAATGGGTCACCCTGTATCATCTTCGCCTTCTGCCAAAGACTGCTGCAGTTGGAGAAGTAACTGGTAAGTCAGTGTGTGTTCGTAAATCCTCTTTAATTCCCTTCTGGGGATCAAAGCAAGAAAGTTGACTTTCCTTGAGAGCTCAACGATGTAAAAATGTAATTTATTTTGCGCCGAATATACAGGAAGTCTCAGGAGTCAGACTATTATGCTATGGGAGAGATATTTACCTACGCAGACACTATGGAATCAGGGTAGAAATCTAGTGGCGTCGCATACAAGGGGCCTAACTAAATTTGGTTTCTCTTAGCGTTTTTAGCACTAGTGACTGCAAAGATTATGATTATGATGAGTATTTATATATAGCTTATAATTCTCATGTACATGAGTATTTACCTAAAGCAATGTCTTTTCCAAAGCTCAAAAATAACACGTTTTTATTGCCTTTACCAAAACCTTTTGCTGCTTGACTCTAACTCAAACATTATAAGAATGATTTATGTTAGAAGCTTCGTATTTATACATCTAGTGGCGTCGCATACAAGGGGCCTAAGTAATTTTGGTTTCTCTTAGCGTTTTTAGCACTAGTGACTGCAAAGATTATGATTATGATGAGTATTTATATATAGCTTATAATTCTCATGTACATGAGTATTTACCTAAAGCAATGTCTTTTCCAAAGCTCAAAAATAACACGTTTTTATTGCCTTTACCAAAACCTTTTGCTGCTTGACTCTAACTCAAACATTATAAGAATGATTTATGTTAGAAGCTTCGTATTTATATCGTTTATTATTTTTCTTGCCAAATTTTATCCCCATTGCCTATTATTTCTTTGTGTACCGGCTACACTTGTTTTAAATAAGTTTAGTTAGAGTTCGTCACCAAAATAACAGTATTTCTACCAGTAACGCCTCTTTTTTTCACCGTAAACTATTCATTTTCTTTATTGCCTGTAGTCGGTATTTTATATGTTCATCTCTTATGAATTATACTTTACCTTTTAAGTAATATATACAACACTCAGGGTCTTAAAATAACTGAGGAGAAGGTGCTGCCTTTGTAATAATATCTGCAAATGGTTAGACCTTCAAGTCTTCTCGGACAAGGACTTAAAACCGTAGGCCCCGTCTATCTTCACTATAAAACCCTGTATAATAGTAATAGTGATGATGATGATGATGATGATGATGGTGATGATGATGATGATGATGATGATAGCTCTTTATTCTTTAAGAAACAAGAAACAAACGCTCCTAATTACAAATTAATATATTAAAAGAATTATATTATACTTCTATACATTAATAATAAATAAGTATAATAATAAATAAATAAGTAATAAATAAATAAGTAATAAAGGCGGACGTTAAAGAACCATTAAAGACGCTGGTGACGATCATCTTCAGTGCCCGTGCTAAAAACAAAAACGAAAAAACGAAAAAAATTTGAGGGCCACAAGTTAATCAGTTAACAAAATTACTGTCACGTGTCACCCTATTAAATAAAGTCTTCRATCAATCAATCAATCAATATATCAAGAAAAAAAGTATTTTCAAAATCACTTGTATGGTTGCAGTATTTTTGTGTGTGGTCTTCTCTTTTCCGATATATAAACATTTGAAATATCAATATGCAAATGATATGACGTAAATTCAAGACTAATTTATTATACAAAAATACTGGTGTGGAAAGTACTTCGGGTTTTTTTATTTGCAAATCATCCCTATAATTGAAATACATGGTTTTAGTACACTTTTAGATTATTTCACTTCAGAACACTTGTCGTAAATTACACTGCAAAATGTAACACATTGAATTGATACGTTCATAAGACATAAAACTACCAGTGGTTCTTGCAAGCATTCCTTATTTACAATGCGGTTTCTCGAACCATGAACACTTCAAGGTTTTTTTAATTTTTTCCTAGCTATCCAGTCATAGCTGTCTATAGAAACAAAACACAATAAATCRGATAGGGCGGTTTTGGCCCCAAAAATGGGGCCAAAATTTTGACCCTATAGTGGCCTGATTTCCCCTGATTTGTCCTAGGGGCCAAAACAGTACTGATAGATCCATACCAAAGTGGCGTCTGTGAGGCCAAAATGGCATTGTTCTATTTTGGCCCTAACCTGGACTAAAATAGCACTACTTTGAAAAAGCCAAAATGGCTTTCTTGGGCCAAATTGGTCCTCTCAAATTTACTGTGAAGAATCAAACATTTTTTAGGCGCCATCCAATGACAACAAACCTCGGAAAATCTTTAGATGTTTTAATTTTAAGCTCTCTCCGTTAAATTAATGAACTGACAGACTGCCGCACGAAGTGCAAACTTTCTATAATTTACCGAAATAAATCAAAAATATTGTTTATTAGTGTAGCTGTTATGAAGTAATTGATACACTTTACATTGTAAATTTTTAAAAACTTTGACGGCAACAACAACCCAAGAGATTCTGAAATTGCACGAAAAAATGTTGGAACCTCTGTAAGAATCTGGCTTCTGATTGGATGATTCGAAAAAAATACCTGAAGTGTTCATGGTTGGAGTGTCCTCACAGTAATAAAGTGTCCAAAATTTGCTAAACCACCGCTCGACCGACATTTTTCAGAATGTACCGAGGGAGACTGGGTACTATTAGAAAAACCTTCTTTAAAGAATACAACTGATGATGGCTGGATTTTGTTAGACAAGAAAGAGTTTTGTCAATACAAGTCCATATTTACCAAGGGTAAGTTATTGGCTTCCATTTGGTCTCTGAACAAAACTGAAAAACTGAACACTGATGTGTATTGGAAAACATAGTGACTGTCTAAAGCAATCACTATAAGGCGGGACACAGGAAGCCAACTTTGGATAACTTTGTTTAAGAAGAATAAAATCGAAATAATGAGGAAAAAGTTATTGTGATTAACCTACATCGTAAGGTAAGTGGTCGGCCAACCACTGACCTACACTACTGTTACGGTATCGACCACTTACCGTCCACTTACCAACCATTTACCAACTACTCACCGACTTATCGACCACTTACCGACCACTTACCAATCACTTACCGACCACTTACCAACCACTTACCGACCACTTACCAACCACTTACCGACCACTTACCAACCACTTACCAACCACTTACCAACCACTCACCAACCACTTACCAACCACTTACCAACCACGTACCAATCACGTACCAACCACTCACCAACCACTCACCAACCACTTACCGACCACTCACCGACCACTTACCGACCACTCACCAACCACGTACCAACCACGTACCAACCACTCACCAACCACT